TGGAATGGGAGAGGTCTGCTCACAGGCAGAACATTACAATCACACTGTGCACGGCCGCCACCAGCGATGTTCTGGCTCGATGAGGTCACTGCTGGGCCCTTGAACTAGTTTTCTCACGGCCCGGGTGTATCCGTGTGCACGGACTTGGTCATCACAACAGAATTCACTCGCTCCTTCAGTTGTTTGACGTACTCAACCCACCGCCTGTTGGGTGCTGTGTCTGGACCCAGGTACGCCGTCCCCGCCCTGACCATGAGGTGCTGACACTTGCACTCAAACACTGACACAGTGAGACAGGCGTTCTTAGCTCTATGCTTCACACGAGGAAACGGAGGCAGAGTGAGACCCGATACACTCAAAACAACACTGCAAGTAATGAAGCCAATATAGATAAAGTGCAAATACCAGCCAGCATTTACTTCCTGTGCCTTTACTAGATGGCAAGAATTGTTCTGAGCCCTTCACGTGCATTATCTCATGTCATCCTTTCAACCACCCTATCTTTAGCCCCATTTCACAGAGGACAAAACTGAGACAAGGAGTGGAGGAGAATGCTGTGCAAGGTCACAGGGGAACATGTGGGGAGTCGGGGTGCGAATTCCAAGAGTCCAACTGCACACACTGCTCCTGTCCACTGACTGACTCCTGTGCTGGGGACAAGGAGAAGGGCAAGCAGGAAAGGTGGTAGGACCCTTGTGCGGAGCCAGAGGCGACCTCTGCCCCGGGTCCCCTCCCCCACAACCTCGTCGACCCCTGTGGTGCACCCCCCCCCCAGCAGCAACGCCTGGTCCCCCACCCACCGGCGTGCGCCCACGCTTTGCGATCCTAGCTCTCGTCCAGCACAACCGCTCTACCACGACGTTCAGGGTAAACAGACTCAAGCTGAATCTGAATCCTGGATCTACGGATCCCTTGGTGACCCCCCACCTTTCAGAGCACCCTCAGCTACTAACACCCCAACAGGGAACCTATCAAAGGAATCTTGGGGTTCGACGGGATCGCGCACGGAGGACTCCACGACCCCCGACCACGGAGCGGCCGCCCCTGCAGTTGTCGGGCCGCGGCCGACCCCACCCCAAGCCCAGCGTCCGCGCCCCGCCCCGCAGACACCTGCTCCGCAGCGCCTCGGCCACGAAGTCCTTCCCGGACTTCCTCTTCCCGCTGAACAGCAGCACCAGGCGCGGGGCGCCTGCTTGCGGGGCCATGCCGTCCCCCACCCCGCCGCCCGGGCACCCGGCCACCCGGCCACCCCGCCGCCCCGCGGTCCTCTCCGCTCCGACGCGAGTACTCCGAGAGCTACTCCTGCGCAGCCGCGGAGAGGCCTGTCCGTGGGCACGTCCACCGCCAAACGCCGAGGGGGGGGCGTGGCTCTCAGGGCGGCCTTCGCCCGAAAGACGCTCCCCCACAGGGATCACTTGGAACGGCCCGGCCCCGCCCAGAGCCTGACGTCACCTGGACACAACCATTCCCCTTGTAGCGGGGACGTCTCTAAATTTCCCGAGGTGAGCGTCACGTTGCCTACCACCCAACCCTACAAACATTATGGGAAACGATCAAACGAGATCACGCTGAAAAGGTCTGCGAACCCGCCTCCTTATTTGTGCAACGCAACGCATGTGTTCAAGCTAATCTGTCTGTACCCCGCAGTGAATGTGGGTCCTCCCGGAAGCCACCCGCGGCTGAGGCGCCGGGGGGCGTGGTCGTGACGTCACGCGGGGAGGGGCTTGGGCCGGCGCTCGCGTGGCCGGCCGCGCGGGTTTGGAGGCCCCGCCTGCTCTTCCCCAGGGAAGTGCGGGGACCCGCCGCAAAGTGCTGACCCCGACGGGGTGGGCTCTGGGGCTTGGAGGCCAGCCCCGGACGGGATTGCCTAGCTTTATGCGGAGTCCAGTCGGGAGCTGCGAGGGTCTGTCCCCTCCTTGAAGGCCCGCCACAGTGAAAGCCGGTCCCAGAGGAGTAAGCGCGGTGGCCTTCAGCCCGGACCTTGGGCCCGCATCTCTGAGCTCGTCAGAACGGATCCCGGAGCCCATTCCTGCGAGCCACAGAGTCACTCAAGGAGAAGGGGGGAGAGGACGCCGGACCCGCGTGGGAGGAGCCGGAAAACACGGCACAGGAGCGATGAAGGAATCCCATGGGTCAGATGCAAAAAGGACGGTCTCCAGGAAGGTCTTTTTTTTTTTTTTTTTTGAAGCAACTCTGAGATCATGCACTCATCAGTGCGCTTAGAAGGCAGCCCCAAGTGGGGTTTTAATCCCAGCTCGGACACTTCTCAGGTCACCCTGGTTCATCACTGGTAACGCCCACCTCACAGGGTTGCCTTGAGAAGGAAATGGGAAAAACACAATGTAATTAAAACCCTTTGTAAATTCTCAAGCGTCATCCAGATGTGGAGTTGTTATTTATGCTGAGCACGGTGTGGTTTTAGAATTCAGCACAGGATCCGATCTCCCAGCCCACCTTCACAGAAAGCTCAGATCCCTCCTCTTCTGTCACTAGAAAGGACTCCGAACTGCCCCCCACTTTCTTTTTCACCTGACTCAGACCTCACTCCTGCCTTTCCTATCCCCGCTGGAATTCCCTACTGATGATCAGAACATCCTAACCTCTTACAGCTTCTCTCCTGCTCCCTGCCTCAACTGTGTCTCACTGTCCCCGGCTGCCCTCTCGCGTAGAGTCTTATCCACCCCCCCCCCCCCCCCCCCCCCCAGCCCTCAGATCTCAGCATAGTGTCTGTGGCCTCCTTCCTTCCCATATCAGCTTCCTGACCTTCACTCCCATGCCTCTTGGGAAACTCCAGCTCCTACAAGGCTCATAGCTACCGGGCTGGGTGGCCTTTGCCCTCCTCAGTGCTGACAGCCACCAATCCTGGCACCTGTTTCCATTCAGGCAGCTTAGCCACAGGCTCCCGTCACCACTGTCTGTGATCTTCCTGCCTGCTTGGTCTGACCGCTCCGTCCCTTGGCCTCAGACACCAGCTCCCATGGAGCCTTGCCACCCCCCAGAGCCATCCAGCCTGCAAATTTGCACACTCAGCCACCTTGGTCTCCAAGGTCACCTGCTCAGATAGTCCCCAGAGCAGTGCTTCCCTCTCAGGGACACATTAGCCCTTGAGACTCTGTTGTATGACATCGCCTCTTCCCTCCACAACCAAAAAGAACTCACAAGAGTCAGCAGGTGTGAGACGACAGGCGGGGGACGCTGCAGACAATGAGGCAGGAAAGAGGGAGGAACAGGACTGTCCGCAGGGGCACAGACAAGCCGGGAGGGAGTGGCCAGAAGCCTGGGGGGGGGGGGGGGGCGGTGAGAAGCTGGGGATGCCAGACACACTGCCTCACGGGGCTGCCTCACGGGGCTTCCAGAAGCTGATGCTTGAGGAAGCAGGTGCTGGCCTTGGACCACAGAGCAGTGGCCCCACGACTCAGGAACACAATTATCCCAGAGGGTCACCCCTCACTAAAAAGGCAGACCGTCTGGGGGGCACCTGGGGGGCTCAGCCAGTTAGGGGTCTGACCCTTGATTTCGGCTCAGGTCGTGATGTCATGGTTCATGGGATTGAGCCCCACGTCCGGCTCTGTGCTGACAATGTGGAGCCTGCTTGGGATTCTCTCTCTCTCTCTCTCTCTCTCTCTCTCTCTTCTCTGCGCCTCCCTCTGCTCACACATTCTCTCACACAAAGTAAGTAAATAACAAAAAAATAAAAATAAAGAGAGGTTTGCTTCACTGACCCAGAAGACGGCTCGGAAGTCAAGTCCAGGCCTATTGGAGGAAGCCCGCTCGCGGTGTCACCAAACCCAGAACAGTTTGAGCCCGCAGGGGACCAGGGCCTACACTCCTGCGGAGCCCAGAGGAGGGAGGGAGGGAGGAGGCGGGCACCGCCCGGGGGGGGGGGGGGGAGCCCTGATCGGCACCACGGTCCACCCCTGCGAGGCCAGCCTGCCCCATAGATGCCACCGAGGCTCAGTGGCACCACCGGTTACCCTTCCGCTTCTGGCTCCTCTTCCTGTGGCCGTTGTGCAGCTGACCCAGCGCCGTCCTGCACCAGCGCCTGTGACAGGGGCCTTCTGTGCTCGATGACCGTGGCCTCGGGGGGGCCGTGCAGCGGGGCAGGTGAGGCAGAGCGTGGGGCGGAAGGAGGGCCAAAGAGGAAGAGAAGAGAGGCAGTCTGAGTCCTTGGGAGCTGAGGGAGAGAAGTCCGTTCATTCGTTCACGCGTTCGTTCATTCAATGTCTGTAAATGCCTGAGACGCACCAGGTACCACTTGAGCTGGGACAGTGAGCGAACCAGAGCCTGCTCAAAGAGCATTTGTTCCCCTGAGGGACCGGCAACGATAAAGCAGCTTTAAAATAGAGCGTGAGAAATTTCATCCCCAAACTGGAGAGGGGAACAGACATAAATTAACATCCGCCTGATGCTCTGATAGAAGCTGTAAGTGGCTCTAAGTGGCACCATCGCGTGGTTCCCCCTGCCTGAAATACCCTTCCGGCTGTCTTTCTGGGGAGCAGACTCTGAGTTGTACTTCAGCACTTAGCCTGTGACGCCTCCTCCCCGCCTCCCCACCCCTCTGCCTTGGATCCCTGCTTCCTATGCTCCTGACATACCTCACGCTCACCTCACACTACGCTTACCACTTACTCCCACATCCCCCCCCCCATAGGTAAGAGTTACTATTTCCTGAGCGTTTACTACGTGCCAGACATTTATTTCCTCAATCATGTGACATAAACACTACTATCCCTACTGAAAGATGAGGCAACTTTAAGTGGCGCGATTATTAAATTTTTTCAAGTGTATTTATTTTGAGAGAGAGACAGTGTGAGCAGGGGAGGGGCAGAGAGAGAGAGAGAATCCCAAGCAATATCCGTGCCTCCAGTGCAGAGCCTGACGTGGGGCTCGAACCCACGAAACCCTGAGATCATGACCTGAGCCGAAACCAAGAGTTGGACGCTTAACCGGCTGAGCCTCCCGGGCGCCCCGAAGTGTCGCAATTATGATGAGGCTCATTATGATCGAGACACTTGCCCAGATATCTAGTAAATAGATTACCCCCCGGGATCACTCCGGAGAGAAGGGGCAAAACGCTTCTAAACACACAGGTGGACGGTCAGAGACTTACGACCCGTCCCCTCCGTGACCCGCCTTTCCTAAGTTGCTAAGTGCTCAGTAAGGGTGAACCCAGAGGAAGGACAAGGCACCGGCCAGCTCTGAGTTTGTAAGTTCTCCGGCTTTAAGAAACGCCACACGCCGACATCCCTGGAGGCGGGAGGCGTCGAACCTCTCGCTGGACAGTGTACCCTCCCAAAAGACCAACAGAAAGTTGGATTCCCCTGCTCAGTCCTCGGTCTCTGGATTATCTCCGTCGCTGTGAGGCAAGTGTGTGACCTTTGCTCTTGCGGCTGCAGCGTTCAGAGAGCACGTAGCAGAGTCTGTCGGCACCTCCAACTCCAGCTCCCGGCTGATCTCACCCAGAACGCCGGGCAAAGCAGGGACCCTCCGATGTTCAAAAGAAACAAGCTCTAAAAAGTCAGCTAGTCTGCCCATGGATGGTGGCCGCGGCTCAATCTGGAATACGACGCAAGAACAAACGTGATTTTTGCTTAAGCAAGCCCTATACCCGTGGGGGGCTTGACCTCATGAGCCAGAGACCAGGAGTCGTGGGCTCCACCGACCCAGCTGGGCGCCCTTAAACAAAGCTTTTTTTTTTTTTAAATAAAGATTCAGGATTTAGAAAAATCTTTTTGTTCTGTGAGATTATCATGTACTGAATGCCAGCTTTGGAGCTGGGGACTGGCCCCACTTCAGCCGTTGAAGAGCGATGTGTTGCTTTCATTCATGTCACCGGTTTTCACTATCTTCGAGACAGACGCTGGCATTTACTCTCAAAATGAGATGGACAGACTCGGCTCCAAACCAGGAGCTAGAAGTGGCCAAGCTGGCTCTGCGTGGCAGCCAGGGGGACCTCCGGGATCCTCCCCCCCCAGCCCCGCCTCGGCCTGCAGTGTAGGTCCTCACCTGTGTCCCTCCCCAGGCTGCCAGAAGGCAGGTCTGGTGGCGCCAGCGGGGCCAGGCCTGGGGAAGCACTGCATGAGCCACGATAAATAAATGAATGAGCAAATGGATGGCTCTTTGGGGGAGAGTCTGGAGGCCAGGCCTTTGCTCTGGAGGCTCCGAGGGCGTTTGCAGGCACCCTCAAGGCCGAGCCTCGGAACCCCACACCCCATCGTTCCGGTCCCGGGGCGGGTACCCCCCGCCTCCGCCCCGCTGCAGTCCTCCACGGGCAGCCTCCTGTCTGTCTGGCTGCCGCTCCTGCTCCTCCGAGTGGCGGAGGGGACACCAGACGTCCCTACAGCACCAGCACGAGCCACCCATGGGTGACTTCAAAGCTCAAGGGCAGAGGGAGGAAGAACCGGTTCCCCCAGACCTTGCCTTACAAGCTTGAGGAGTGGAGGGGGCGGGGGCGGGGGGGGGGGGGGGAACAGGGGACGCTTAGGGGTTGACAGCCAAGGGCTCCAGCCCCAACCCGCCTCTAGCAAGCTTCGTGACCCCAGACAAGTCATTTCTCTTTCTGGGCCTCGCTTCTCACTCTGAACCAGAGGCTGGCTTCATGCCTGTGAAGGGCCCCTCTGGAGCCAGCCTCCTCCTGCCCACAAGCTGGGGCGCATAAGGGGCCGCGGTGGCCAGAGAGGAAGTGCCACAGGGCCAGGTACCCACGTGGCTGGGTGGGAGCTCGGGCTTCCCGGCCTGGGGCCTCCTGGGGAAGGTGGACAGTGCCCGCGGATGGTCTTGGTCGCCGTCCAGCTGTGACAGGACCATAGGCAAGCCACCTCCTCTCTGTCTCTCTCTCTCTCTCTCTCTTACTTGTCTGTAAGAGGGTACTGACGGTCTTACCCTCTCTAACGTCTGCTTGTCCGTGAGATGGGAGAGCCAAAAAGTCTGTGGCCCAGGCGGGTAAGGGGCGCCGGTCTCTGGGCAGGCCTCACGCCACGTGGGGTTTCTGCAAGGGCCGGAGGCCACGTTCCGGATGAGCCGGCGTGGCGGGTCTGTTTGGTCTGTGGGTGACTGACGTTGCAAAGGGGGCTAATCCTTCCTCTCCACGGTGCACGGCTTAAGTTTCTGCCTTCCCTGCCCCAGCCTGGCAACCTGTCCCTCTGACCCTCAGCAGACAGGTCACTCCCCCTGCGGGCCATTCCCCCCACCCTTCAGGCTCAGTAAGGTTAAGAGTCTGACACTGGTTGGAACTTCTCCAAGGGGGCCCTGACTTGGGGGGGTGGGGAGAGGGGACGCACAGCGGGGGAGCAGTGAGGGACCTGCTGGGAGGCTGGCTGCCCCCCCATATCTGGCAAAATCAAGCCCAGCTGCCTTCCCCTCTCCACCCCACCCCCCCCACCCTGACAAGACCAGCCCTGCCCCTCCTCCTCTACCAGCACTGCAGGGGGGCGGGGGAACTGCTCAACCACCTGTGCCAGGGCTGGGAAACCCAGCATGTCCTCGACCGCCCGCTTTCCCCTGGCCTTGTCCCATCCAGGCCTGGGCCACTCGAACTCGCTACTCCGGCCACGTTGCCTCTCTCCCAGGCTGTTGGCTGACACCTTGAAACTACCCCGATGTCACATCCTGGCCGCCCGCTGCACAGCGCCCAGGCCTACCGGCCCTAGTACAGGCGCCCAGCCTCCACTGCCCGTGGCAAAGCCCCTCCTTAGACTTGCAGGTGGGCCTGTGAGAGAACGGTGAGCATGAACTTAACCATCTGGCCCCAAGGCTATTCCCCCTCCCCGGGCCTCACCTCTACCCTCATGGCAAATCCTACTGTCCTTCAAAGTCCAGGTCAGAGGCCAGCCTTCCCTCCTCTTCACGCCCTGCTGACTCCTCCCTGGCAGCGTGAAGAGAGAATTCTGCCTGTTAAATCCATCCAGCTGCTTGCAGGGGCGGGGGAGGGGGGGGGCGGTGCGGGCAGCACTGGGGTCTGCACAGCACGCGGCAGAGTGAGATGCAAGCTGGCACCCCTCCCCCGCCCCTGCCAGCTCCTGCCAGGCGGTTTGGGAAGATGCTCTCGGTGTCCACTGTACCGATGGGGAAGCTCACCCTGAAAGCAAGGGGGCGCCCGGCCTGAGGCCCGCAGGTGGGAGCCGGCGGGGACCCGAGACTGGTTTCCCCCATCTTAGCTTGCTCAGACCAAAGGTCTGGTTAGAGGAGACCTGGGCGGAGCCTCCATCGGGCCCAGAATGAAGAGGAGGGGCTGAGCGGGGTGGGGCCTCTTCTGGAAGCTGAGGCCGGAAGCTGCCCAGCAGGCAGGTTATCTCAGCGGTAAAATGGGAAGGGAGGGGGCTGCTGTCGTCGGGGTTCAGGGCTAGGCAGCCCGGCCCCGCCCTGCAGCTCCCCTACCAGCCCCCCCGTAAGCACGTGCAGGTGAGGGCCCCGGGCACCCCTGCATCAGGGTGGCCCCGGGAGGTCCCTCAGGCAACAGCTGGCCTGGCAGAGGCGGCTGGGAGAGCGTCTTGGGAGGAACACACCCCCCTGACCTACCTTCAAGGAGCTTCTGGGGAGCGGGGGGTGCCGGCCCCAAGCTCACCCAGGACCACATCTCTGCCTCCAGAATGGGTGATGGGAAGCAGTAGGGAGAGGAGGCAGGGGGACTCCAGGGGCGGTAAGGGCTGGCAGGGGCACCAGCGAGGGAAGGCGGGGCTGAGGGCAGCGGGGAAAGGGCAGTGGAGGAGCCTGGGCAGGGGTGAGGGGCAGGGATGGCGGACTAGGGGACAGATGAGAAGTGAGTTTGGGGACCGGCCAAAAGAAGCAGGAGGCCCAAGGGGGCGCCCCTGACTCATGTGATTCTCCCAAGTTGCCCCTTGCCCCTGGGGCTGAGCTCTTAGCTGGGGGGGAGGGGTGGAAGGTCTCAGAGGAAAGGGCAGAAAGGTCCAGAGCTTAAACTGGAGGGGTCCAGACCAGACCCTGGGGGGCCACGCATGGCTGGGGGCAGACGCCAGTGGGTTCGCTCCCAGGTTCCCCCACCCCTGTGGGTACCAGCCAGAGCTGCTGTGGGTACACGAGGGTGACAGAGAGAGGGGCCTCGTGTCCTGTGATGGGGGTGAGGATCACCTACCTAGGCCAGCCCAGACACAGGGTGGCCACCGGGCAGTGGCCCTGGTGTCCTGACCGTCCCCAACAGACCCCTGGGGCTCCTGGCTCTCTTGGTCTCTCGGATACAGGGGACACAGCGGCTTCGGAGACCTCAGACCCAGCTCAGCGCTCCTACTCCCTGAGGGGCTAAGAGGGGCAGGGGGCTTGGGGACCCTTCCCAGCCTCCCCCAGACTTTGTGATGCTTTTCAGACCCTGAAAAGCCCCAAGCACCCACAACCTCTGGGAACCCAGGGAGGCCAGGCTGTACCCCCTCCCCTGAAGCCAGGCCCCTCCCCGGATGAGGAATCTGGCCTCCCTTCTAGCCTGAACCCCTGCCCTGGAGACTCAAGCTGACCAGTCAGCTGTTCACGCAGCATAAATTCTGAGCACCTGCAAGCGGTGAGAAAGGTGAACAGGATAAAAAGGCATCCTCAAGAGGGGACGACGGTCTGCGGAGGGGACGAGGGCCCGTGGAGGGGACAACAGTCCACAGAGGGGATGAGGGTCCAGAGGGGATGAGGGTCTGTGGAGGGGATGAGGGCCCACGGAGGAGGCGAGGGTCCATGGAGGGGACGACAGTCCGCAGAGGGGATGAGGGTCCAGAGGGGACGACAGTCCGTGGAGGCGACGAGGGTCCACGGGGGGGGCGGGGGGTGAGGGTCCATGGAGGGGACGACAGTCCACAGAGGGGGCGCCTCCTCACACATACCCTGTGCTCCTGGTTCAGCCCCCAGCCAGAGGCCCGCAGGAGCCCATTGGCTCACAGTCCTCCGACAGCCAGCGGTCCCTCCTGAGCCCCCGCAGCCCACCACAGCCCCTTCTGGAGCCGGCGGGCGCTCTCCCCTTCCTGAAGTCACACTGCGCCATTCCGTCCCTACACTCGCACGGGACGTGCAGGCCAGTCGAGGAGCCCGGTCAGGAGGGACTTCCGGGCAGTAAGTGGCCCAGCGGACTCTGGGTCTTGGGTGAGCGCAGGCCCTCACCTCACCTGGCCGGGTGGGTCTGGGTCTGGGGCCCTAATCGGTGCGGGAGGCGAGGTCGGCAGCAAACGTGGAGCTGGGGCGCCACCTAGTGGCTTCCCACCTCCCCAGCCCAGAGCCCGGTGGGGGTCCTCTGCCCCCTCCTCACACCCTCTGGCGGGCGACAGCTTTTGAGAGCCAAATACAGAACAGGCATTTTGCTTACATCGCTTTATGTAATCTCTCCCCAGCCCCCCAGTCCCTTTGTTTGAGGATCAGAAACCCAAGGCTCCCAGAAATTAACCTGCCGAGATCTCTTGGCCGGGACGGGGGCCCAAGGCTCACCCTCGGGAACCCATGGCCCTCAGCAGCTGTGAGCTCCAGCCCTGAGCGCCGGAGGCGGGTGGGGAGGATGAGGTGGGGACAAGGTGGGTGTGGGGTCCCCTGTGCTTACACACCAGCCCAGCGACGGAGCCCCCAGCCGACAGCACAGCCCCAACAGCGTTTCCTGGGGCTGAGTCTTCAGTTCCCATGAGGTGGGGCCGGGGAGGAGGCAGAAGGAGACTTCAGTCCCTAGGGGCTGCCACTTCCAAATGTAACAAAACCCCAGGGAAAGCCCTCGTGCTGGGCCTCCATCCCAGGGGGCACAGGCCAGTGTGTGCAGCCAAGGGGCCCCTCTGGGGGCACATGCACAGACGCTCTCTGGCTGCAGAATCAGATTCCTGCCCCCCCCCCGGGGCCCCCCCCCCCCGCCCGCTGGCCCCCAAGCGTTTGCATATATTTGCATAAACAGCAAGACAGGTCCAGCTAAAGCCTTTTCTTGGCAACAGTGGCATCAGTGCAAGGCCGGGTGACTCTCCTAGGGAGCCGGAGAAGACGACAGTTCAACAGTCCCCGGGGTCAGGGGACCCCGGGCCTCAGCCCCTCCCCGGGCTCCGGCTCCGGAAGTGTCTGTCCTTCTTCCCTGACCTGTGGGGAGACCAGGTGGGGGCAGGAAGAGGCCTTCAGGACCACGCCGCATGGTGAGAAGAGGCTCCTGTAGCAGCGGGGACCTATCCCCGCTAAGTCAGGGGGGGACGGACCCACCCTCCCAGTGTGAGGTCCCTGGCCAGTGAGGCAGGAAGCCTCCTCGGCACTGCAGGTACACGCTGGACACAAGTACTCCGGAGGAAAGGTCCCCCCAGCCCGAGGGGGCTCCCGGGACCACCGTGGGGCGAGCACAGGCGGCCTCCTGACCTCAAGGGAAGACCGGAGCGCATCTGGATGCTGCTCGAAGAGGAACCCGCCATGGATTACAAGTGGCTCAAACTCAAGACTGGGACTCGGGGCCTGTGCTCCCTCACCCCAACCCCGCGTCCCCCGCCCACAGCTGCCCACCTCTTCTTCAGTGCTTTGTCTCCAAAGAAGTGGCTGAAGATGAAGCCCTCAAAGTCATCCACCTCATCGTCGTCACCCGTCTGTCTCACCGCCACCTCCTCCAGGCTGTCCTCCAAGGCATCCACAAAGTCCCGGAAGCGGAGGCGGTCATGGCGGAAGATGCCATCCTCCCCAAAGTAAGCGGGCGAGAGCGGCAGCTCCTGGGTCAGCTGCCCAGCCCAGGGCAGCCGCGCCAGGTAAGTGGTCAGCACAGAGGCCAGCTCCTGTCGCCGCACCGGGGCCAGCTCTGCCCCGAAGGCCAGGCCCTCCTGCCGGGCACACTCGCGCACGCCTGAGCAGCCCTGTGGGGCCCGGTACTTGCGCCTCAACAGCTCGGCCCACGGTGCCGGTGCCCGTGCCGGGTGGCCTCGCCCGTCGCTAGCGCCCTCCTCCCGCTGAGGGTGCTGCTGCCCCCCGGGGGGGTGAGGGCTCCCGCTCCTCCTAGGGGGCTCCTCGGGGCCCTGCCGCCTGGCGTCCTTCCTGCTGCCCCACTCCGCCCCCTGCGGCTTGCCCTCCCCCCAGCCCTCTGCCATCTCCCGGCCCTCACCCCCCCAGTTCTTTCTCTCCCGACCAGACCCCTCCTTCTTGTGCCTCCGGGGCTCAGCGCTCCGGTCCCCCTGCCCACCCCGCCGCTTCTCCTTTCCACTCCACTCCCTGGGACTCTGGAAGCGGGGCTCCCGGTGCCCGGCCTCTGAGGCGTTGGCACCGACCCCGGGGTGCTGGCCCCACTTCTCCAGGCCCTGCAGCTTCTGGGCCAGTCTGCGGCCCAGCTCGGCCAGGTCCCCTCGGCCCGCAGCGCTCAAGCTCTGCTCCAGG